ATGTGGCAACCGCCACCTTGCCCTTTATGTAATGGTGGCAGACACCACCTCTTCTTAGTGTGGCAGGCACCACATTCAAGTGGCAAGTGCCAATTCGTATGTGGTGGCCCCCACACCTTTTTCTTTCTTTCTTCTTATTTTCTTTCTTTGATCTTTTCTTTCCATTTTCTTCATTTATTTCTCCTTTTATACTTTTTGTCCAGATTTATAGTAACCTATAAAACAGAAGAAAACAACAACGTAATCAAAGATAAATCAAATAAAACAGTAAAAGAAACGGATAAAATTCATGCAAGTCAAGTCAAATATTCGATATAATTTCGCGCTATCAACATGTCAGAAAGGCGCGGTCTAGAGTGTAAAGATACTAGTGATAAATATGGTATCAATTGTAATTTTCAGCAGAAGCTTCCCGAGGTAATTATATATATTACATTGAAATTAATTTAGCACAATTTTCTTAATTGACACACTAATCATATTTCTTATTGGTTAAGGGTATTTCACCTTGTCGGCTTTATTTATTGTCACCGACTTATCGCATGGTTGACAAGGGAAAAATGCATAACACTTTAGGAGACTTACTTCAACATAAACCACTCCCTGCTGGATATTTGAAAGTATCAATTGATATTGCTTTAGAGGGGGGTGCGTTATTGCATATGCTAGACGATGTTTCGGATGCAACATTGGTGGGAGATGCAATAAAATCGTATGTTGCATGGCCGCCAATTCTCATTTTCATAGATGATGAGGTAGGTTGAACACCATTATGAACCTTGTAGTATTCAAATGTTTTACGACCCTTACATGTAAGTTATTCTTACATTTACGTACCATTTATTTACATGATGATCTTAGACTCCTACAAAATCTAAATCAAAAGATAAGGGGATTGTGCGGGAAACCGAGTCAGCTGCATCAAAAAAACAGGTACTACTACATTAATTGATATATATATATATATATATATATATATATATATATATATATATATATATATATATATATATATATATATATATATATATATATATATATATATATATATATATATATATATATATATATATATATATATATATATATATATATATATATATATATATATATATATATATATATATATATATATATATATATATATATATATATATATATGCATAAAAAATGTCAATATAATTATATCCTCCGATTTCAATAGTTTTACGATCTTATACATTAATTACCTAACTTATATGACTTTTAGGTTCATGCTCAAGAGTTGCAATAAGTCAACAAGGGTAAGATGCCTGAATCTATCAAGGTGTCCAACAAAAAAAGGCCGAGGCAAAAAAGGCATTTGTTTCCTGATTTAGGTTGTGCCTTGAAACATATGTAGGAACAATATATGTGGTAGAGGGTGACATTCGTCAAATACCTATGAAGGAAGGTATTTTCGGTTTTGCTTATGCCGAAACAATTACTAAAGAGGATTTGGATCAAATTTTCCAACATTCTGAATTAGGCATGAGTGTTATACATTCATACATCAGGTACTCCGATCAATTTTAATTAAATAATTGAACAATTTATTTGCTCATTTCAATGAATATTCTAATGTTGATTATGTTTTTATTTAAGGTTCTTGTATGACAAGTTGTTGGTTCTACATCAATTGACAGAGAGCTTCGCATTCTTATCTTCTAGCTGTATCAATGCACGATCAATCGATCACACTCCAGATGTAGTTAGAGATTACTTAGTCCAAGCATTTATGGCCACAAATACAGAGAAGTTATATTTTTTGCCATATAATACTGGCCATGGGTTAGATTTCATTCTAAATTCATTTATTATAAGTATTTGTTTTTTGCCATTCTATATAACATTTTCGTCTAAAATTTTGTCTTATTTTACAGTGGATACTGGTTGTTGGTTGCGATTAATCTGATAAAAGAAATAGTGTATTATCTAGATTCATTAGATGGTGATCAAACAAAATATCATGATATGAAGAATATGGTTAATACGTAAGTGATGAGATATATTGTTCTGAATAATTATCTTTATTTATCATGTGAGATTGTTCTAAATATTTGTTTATATTATGTTAGAGCTATACAAATATTCTGATCACAAAGACAAGCAACAGTGCCAAAAAGGAAGGCTAACAACATTAGCTGGATCAGAGTGCAGGTATATTTTCACGATTTTGACTGTTATAGTGATTCTACTTGATAAAACTTGTTAAACTATATATCCTGATATATATTCGATTGCTTTTTGTATTGAGGTTTGATTGCGGATATGAGATTGATTATGAGTATTTTGTATTGAGGTTTATGAAGGAAATTATTCATTCGGGTCAAATAGAGATTCCAAACATGGTATGAATTTATAAGTTATATGATTTATTTTAATATTTAACCGATATTCCATCCGAGTAATTAGTTTTAAAACTAAATCATGCATATTATGTTATATTATGTAGTACTTTGATGAATTCAAGTGTGGTACTTACTCGAAAGACAATTGGAAGAAATTAAAGAGGAATGATGTCAATACATTCTTGAGATGAGAATTGTATAAGGTATATATATTATCTTTCTGTCTTTTTATGTTATGTACATACTACTGGATAATTATATTTCTGAAAGTCGTATGTAGTTTTGGAATTTGTTGATATACTTCGATCTATAAGTTAGTTGTTGTGAGGATCTGAAAATATGGAATTTGTAATTGTATGTATAGAGAATGTATTTGTGAAATTATCGATTTTGTAATTATATGTATAGTGAATGTATTTGTGAAGTTGTTGTGAGGATCAACTTGTGTTGAATTATAAGCAAATTTATGTGTTGAATTACAATGATTATGGTATATATAAGGCCAAAGTGTTGAAATAAAAGCTTGTGGTGAATGTAATTATTATAAGCAGATTTATGGAAAAAATGGTGCAAGATAATTCAACAAAAATCGTTTCTAAAAAATATGAAAAATAGACAGTGCTTTTACCAAAAAAACGCTATGAAAAAGTGATTTAAAAAAAAATTCAATGACGTGAAGAAAAGACAACGCTTTTCTTGAAAAAGCACTGCTAAAAGGGGGGGGGGGGGGGTATAGAAAGCTCTCCAAAAAGCGCTGCTACAGGGGAAAAAGGGAGGGAAAAGACAACGCTTAAAAAAGCGCTGCTAAAAGGGGGGAATAGGCAGCGCTTTTATTAAGAAAAATGTTGCTAAAGGTATTCAGTAAATACACTTTAGGCATCGCTTTTTAAAAGTGCTGCTAAAGGAGGGGGGAATAGAGAGCGGTTTTTTACAAAACCGCTGCTAAAAAGTATTTAGCAAATACACTTTAGGCAGCGCTTTTCACAAGCGCTGCTAAAGGTGGGGGAAAAGAGAGCGCTTTTATGAAAAATCGCTGCTGAAAGTGGGCCTATTGCAACGCTTTTTACTTCAAAAAAAAACAATGCCTTTACCTTTAGCAGTGCTACTTTAGGCAGCGCTTTTAAGCGCTGTTAAAGGCTAAAAAAAACGCTGCTAAAGACTAAAAAAAGCGTTGCTAAAGGTCTTTTTTGACATAGTGAGAATAACCCGGTGGTATCACGCTAGTAATGTTAAGTTTTCTCGCCGAAGATTTTCTCTTGCTGAAGAAACCAGTAAACTATTGTTCCAGTCAAGATATGTAATTATAGTAGTAGAAGAACCCAATTCTATATAGTATAGATCATCTGAGCAAACATTAAGACAAACATTCTAAATTATACCATATGAATGAGCAGAAAAAAATATACTTTATACAAATAAAAATAGTAAGATAACGAAAAATGATAGATTTTGTTATTAGAGATTCAAGGAAGAAGAAAAAATGATAGAATTCAAGATTTCTTTTTTTAAATATGATATTGTGAGTGAAAGTAGAGTTTGTAAACTGAAAACTACTCAGCTAATTGCATTGTGATGTATGCTAGTAGAGAAAATAATTATAAATTAATAAATAAGATAAGTAGTAATATATGAAAGAAGAGGAAAAATTATTATAAAAATTATATAAGAGAATAACAAAAAAGTGGAAAACTTAAAATTTTGAAATTTGAAACAAAGAGATGATGTGACATGTTGTAATAAGAAGGAATATATATATATATATATATATATATATATATATATATATATATATATATATATATATATATATATATATATATATATATATATATATATATATATATATATATATATATATATATATATATATGAAACAAAGAGATGATGTGACATGTTGTAATAAGAGATGGAGATGATAAAATATGAACATTAGTTGATTACACAAATGCTCTTTTCATAGTGTAAATAAAATTTTGGAAAAAAGTAATTATGTAAGATCATGCATTAAGATTTTGAAGGGTTGATAGTAGATTATCAGCTTAAAAAAGGGTTCCAACTAGATCTAGGTCTAAAAAATACAAATGATGCAAAGATGCAAAATAAGTTAAAAGATAAACACATGGTAGGATAAAATTAGAATATGACAAATATCATTTTGTTTGTTTTAGAGGTGTAGCGCCCTTAGGTGATATCATGTGAACATGAAGAATGTTCTTTTAAGTTTTGTAGCCAGCAATATATCATCTTCAAGGATGGTGATAGCAATTTGGTTTCCTTTCACACAAGGTTTGAGAAGTATATCACAAACATTGTTATTGAAAGCTTTGACAAATGAGAGAAAGAGAAAGAAAACTATAAAATGGTTTTTGAACATTGTTAATCAACTCAACTCATTATGAAGCATAACACATTTCTTATTTAGGCACATGTTATGAACATTGGCTCTAATTAATTGAAATTGCTTTCTAAATAATCACCTAAATGCTTAGAGTTTTCTAACAAACTAACTAATTGCAAATTATTGTGATGACTTGCAACACAAGCAACAACAAGTAACTCTCCAATCCCAGCTAATACTTGAACAATCTTAGGGCAAAATGATTTGTTTCATTCAAACAAAGTATTAGTCTTTCAACTCAACATGTTCGCCGGCAATTTGGAAATCCATCCTTCTTGATCAATAAAAGAGAGACTCAAGAACTTATTAAGTTCCATCTCACTCAAGCTCTTCATCCACTTCACACGTTTCGATTTGTTTGCTCCATCTCCAAAGCATTTCTCCTCCACAAAAGTAAGATTTGCTCTACAGATTCGCGAATTTCACATATTAACAAACGAAAGAGTGAATCACAATTTTAGTAGTAACAATAAAACTTACTCATGGCCAACAAGATATCTAGGACTCCAACCCTCAGGTTTAACAGAATCTGATATGTAAGAATTTGCTATGATCACTCTTGCATAAGCTTCCATAGCCCTCCCAAGTTCAAACTTTCCCACATAACCATTTATTTTACATCTATTAAACACAAATCCACTTGGATCATTTGGTGAATTTCTATAATGTGCTGTAATAACTCCATCCGTTTTCGGACCATTTTTGCCCATCGAAAAAAATATATTACTATCCTGCATATTAGTTGATAATTAGTTGATAATTTCTTAGAATTCGAAGAAAAAAACATATATTTTTTACCTCAAAGATCGATTGACCATTCCCAAATATGAAGTCGATTCCACCTTGGATCAAACATTTTTTGAAGTAGTGACGACCCATGTCAGAAAATAGAGTATCTTGCACCCCAAGAAAACCACAACTATAGAAAACACATTTATCTGCACGAACTCTAGCAGCTACACCTTGTGTGATGCCATTCACCTCTAACACTGGACTGTTCAATGTATTCTATGAACATATATACAATAATGAGTAATTGTAATACAAAAATTACATAATAATAATAATAATAACAATAATAATAATAATAATAATAATAGTTTACCGCTATAGTAATGCCCTTTGCAGCTGTATTATTTGCTCTTGTTTCGAACGTAGCATTCTCATGTATGCTCCATTCTATACGTGTGGTTTGTCTACTAACTCCTTCAAGATAAATGCATGGTTTGTTCTGTGGAATATATATTTGCTCTCTGGATAATATGCAAAGAGTACATAAAATGTAATAAATCAATATGTAAAACAAAAAAATGTTACATATATTAATAGTTGAAAAGAAAGAAAATACTTGTAAACACCAGAAGATATTTGGATGTGAATCCATTGAGAGTTTCCTTCAGGGACAGAATCAATGGCACTTTGAATTGTTTTGAAATTTGCTTTGTCTGATTGACTAACAGTAATAGTTTTCAAGGGTTTACTACTACAATCATCAGATTCACAAATATTAAACATAAGAATTACAAATATTAAAATGAAAGCAAATGATTGTAGAGACTGCATTTTTCTTCAATTGGGTGTGTAAATGTGGTGGTGCAGATTCAACACAATCATAGGATTTTATAGCAATAAAAATATCAGATTCAAAATTTAATTGTGCATTGTGTCCATCAACTTATTCCATAAATATTCATTTAGAATTTTACTGGCCACTAAAAAAAGTAATTATTTTTTGTATTTTAAAAATAATTTTTATGAAAACTTACTTTAAAATAGTAAAAGTTATATTTTTATAAATTAAAAAACTAATTTATGCCAATATGCTATTGAAATTTTTTATAGCATAATATCATAGTTTCTTGGTTTTGGAAATTATTCCTTATTTAATTTTTTCCTTTTGAAATTTAATTTATTTAAATTGTCATAAATATAACTTAATTTGATTTTTAAATTTTTTTTTATTTTTGTTTAAATTTAGAAAGTTTTATAAATCAAAATGAAAACAAGTGATTATAGAGAGTGCATTTTTCTCCTATTATGTATGTAAATGTGGTGCAAACTCAACAGAATTATAAAACTTTTATAAGTAAAAGAAGTTGGAAAATATCTTACTAGTGTTTATAGCTTAGGAACATAATTTCTTGATTTTGGAAATTTGATTGATATGAATTTATAGCTTGTTTAAATTTGTCTTTGAAAAGTTATACAGATATATTTATTTATTGGTAAATTTTTTTTTTGTTTTCTTCTGAACTTAAAGTTTTTTAATAAATGGAAAGAACTTCATTTTATATTATTTTTAATAAATACAATATTTGGTTGTTTATTATCTATTTTTATCATTCTTCCCAATTTGAGAAGATTACAATTTTAATTTTTAAGGGCTATGCTATTTGTCGTGGAGGAAAAATTCACGGATGAATTACAACAGTTAGGTTTGTTGTTTTCCACAGTACATGAATGAGTGAAAGTAAAGAGTCTCACTACCAATAGTTTGTTGCTAAACTAGAATGGAAATATATAGATGGCAAAAATTAAAAAAGACAACACTAGTCCCTATTTAAGAGTAGTTAATCAAATATGTATCTTTTCCCCTACAATTTAGTACTCATTGTATGTAAATATGTAGCATCTCATCCTTAACTCCATTAAAGAAAAATGTTTATAAGATTACTTTTGTAATCTTTCTTGGTTGTATTCATCAATTTATTATAATTATTCTTTGCCTTTAAATTATTTTCATATTTTTATATTTAATATACATTAGGTTTATTTAATGCTAAAGTCCATTAGTTTAATTTTAAATTTCAGTTTAGTCCCTTATTTAATAAACGTTACAATTTAGTCCCATAACAATGGTTTTGTTTGCCACCTTAATCCCTCATGTTAAATTTGCAGAAAAAATGTTAAGTTGGTTGATGTGGCATAGCAACAAGTATGTACTTTCAATAGTGATAGTGACTCAGCAGGGGGATTATATTAACGTTGCAAGACATTGTTTACTCATCGTAACATTTTTCCTTCAATGTTCTTCTTTAAATGCGTTATAGGGATAGTGTTCACCTTCTTCTTTCAATGTTCTTCTTCAAAATTTCTTCAAGAACTCTACTCTTCCAAACCATCATCTTCATCATTTCTACTAAGATGTTAATGAATTCCAGCAACTATTCAAAATCAAACAACCAAAGTTGTGTGTCACTTGAATTTGTGGTCATAAGAAACAAGAGGAGGGTTTGTTGGTGCCAAGAAGAGTGTATTATTCATACTGTTATAGACTTGAGCAGTGTTAACATTGGGAAAAAGTTTTGGGGTTTGTCATATCCCAAATTTTACCCCTAGATTCCATCATCATTTGCATAGTATCCAAGACATCCTAGGTGTGTCATTCATGCATAGCTAACCAAGATTATCAAGATTTTGTCTTGCTTTGTCTTTTGCTTGTGAATTAGGATTTGCATCAAGCGGATTATTGGTTGATTAGTCAAAGTTTTGGATTGATCATCAATATATTAATTTCTCACGATTAAGAGTTTCTCTACATCAATAATCAAGTTCAAAGTTTCATTGAATCAAGATCAATAGATCTCAAGTCATTTGGTTCACCCAAATTAAAGTTTTGACCTAATGTAGTCTCTGATTTGACTTTTGAAGCAAGGCAAGATACAACATCTCAAAACATGTTTCAAGGATCTCAAATGCATCATATTAGTCCATTCATATGATTGGATTGATCCAAGAAGCTTGATCCATAAGCAATGCAAGAATTAAGGTTTCTGATGAAAAGTCAATTGCACCTTTGACTTTTGACCAATGAATGGTCTCAAGCCTTGAGACATGATTCAAGACACTCAAAGACACCTTGGGAGTCCATCTATAGTGTTCAAATAGCTCAAGAGTTTGATTTCATTGAAGTATGCACTTTGGATTTCATCTGATACAAAAAGTCAACCACTAATCAAGTCAAGTTTGACTTTTGACTTTTTGGTCAAACATAGGTTCCTCAATTCAAGAATGCTGATACTATGTGATTTTGATCATGATTGATCAAGAGAAATTAAGAAATGTGAGGTTACTTGCAAAAAGAGCAACAATGAAGAAATTGAAATTTTTATTGTTAAGAAAATTCAATGATTTTTACCCAACTTCTCAAGGCCATAACTTCTAATCCAAACAACCATTTTCTTTGCTCCAAAGACCAAATTTAAGAGTTTGTTACATACTACAACTTTGTTTTTGAGGATGATTTCCAAAAAAATGCATATATTGAGAGATATGAAGCCATGAAGTGGAGGATTCTTTGCCCCTTGAACCTAAAACACTTAGAAAAGTTTCAAGCAAAATATGCCTTGTAAAGTAACTCACTTTGAGGCCATTTTTACCAAGATCCAAATTGATTCAGAAAAAACTTAACATTAAAGTTGTAGATCATGTTACAAGATTTCCTAATAGTCAAAGAACACATTTTTATCCTACTTGAGCTAGGAGTTTTGAAGAAGGGAAGTTGGCTCTTCCATGCTGAATTTCAAGTCACGTTCATGCCAAATCCTTGTTGCAAATCCTAGCCAAAGCCATGAAATCTTCTTTTACAGCCTATGTTACTTGCAAATCTCCCTCTAATCAGAAAATTACTCAAGTTTATGATGCATTATCCAAGTGTTCATAACATTGTTCAAGAGATCCTTCCATTTGGGGCATAAAGATCTCATTGCCATTTTGATAAAGTGACTTTAATCACAAAGTCAACTTGTCTTGAGCTTTCAACTTATTTCTTCTGCAATCAACATTTTCCTTGCACATAAGCAAAGTTTATGAACTTCCAACAACTCTAGAAAGGCATTGTACCTTATCTTGGAACCATGAGGATCAATGAAACTTTCTCTTAAAATCCAACCAAACCAAAAATTCCTCAAGTTTGCATTCTGTCACGGCCCTTGATTCTCATCCTTTCCCTATAAATAGAGGTCATTTCCTCATCACAAAAGATACAAGAAACATACCACAAACATCGAGAAATAAGCCTCACATCAGAACTTGCATCCAAACTTCCACTTGTGTCAAAAGCATCCACTTTGCACAAAATTCTCCAAAACATTCCACAATCACAAATTTATCAAACTAACCAACCATCCAAACATATCACAAAACACCTAACAAAGGTGTTCAAACCTTCATCTTCACCAGAAAACCATAAGAACGGAAATTCAACTCCCAAACCTCTATTTTGTTGACTTTTTATATTATCCAAGCCAAAACAACATCCTGGCCCTTTACAGTCAATCCAAACTATCAAACATCACCCCTAGACATGTCCTAAGTTGTCCCGAACATTATTTTGCAACTGTAACTTCATTTTCTTGAAGATCAAATTTCCATTTTTTCATTCTTGCAAGAGGATTGAGTTGCACTTTTGAAGCTGTTTCAAGTCCACCTAAGCATTGCAAAAGCATCTTGGAGGACCATAGAAGCTATTTGGATCATTGTCTTACTTCTGTAACAAGTTTGAAGAGGCATTGGACCTTGCTTCAATAGTTAAGGTTTCTCATTTCTAAACTCACTCATACAAGCATTGTTAGTGTTTAATTTCTTAAGCAAAAATGTAGCATTTGATGTGTAAATGGTGTTCCATAAGTTAATTGTAGTGAATCATGTGTGTATGTGAAGTTATGCATTTCTGATCAGTTAGGGTTCACTTTAGGGTTATTGATTTATTTGTTTATTCTTCGAGTTTTAGTTAAATTAAGTGATACCATTGCGTCATAATGGTTTATGTGTGTGTGTGTGTGTGAAGTGTGTTATTGAGCCAAAGGTATGGGGTTCGAATCTCCCTCGCCCCAGGCATTTTTGTGTTATTTTTTTCTATATTGTGCCACTTGTCCTACTATTTTATTCAATGCGTGTGTTGTGAGGGCAAAGCCTCATATATAGATGTGCTCGTTTTGATGATGTCAAAACACAGCTCCATAGAAGAATATATGTTGGGCATTATCACCATGTTGCATTTGCATGTCTTGTCTCTCATAATTCAAATGCTCGTGTAAAATATCACGGTTATTGCATATAGATTGTCAAAAATGTGTGTCATATGAGGTTGACTTAGTTGGTGTCGTTTTCCATACCATAGGTTTCATCAAAAGTGTCGAAAAATATGAAAATAGGCATTTTTGATGGTTTCAGGGCTTTTAGTCGACCAAAGACCTGTTCCGGTCGACTCACACTGACAGCCCATTTTGTGTATTTGCTTCAGGTGGGCTCGCGTCGACCCTCCGGTTGACTCATACTGTAAGAATTTTTCATTTGGATAAAAATGCATGCTATGCGTCGATGCATACCTTGCTCCGGTCGATGCATGGTTCTGTTTTCTGCACAGTTTTATATTCGGGCCAACTCAGGTCGACCCCCTCTACTGCATAGGTCGATCGCCCGCTATTTTGTATCATTTTTATGTTATATCAATTGTCTTTGTCAAGTGGTTTTGTTTGTTATGCCACTTATGTTTGGTATATAAGTTCAGTTTGTATTTTTCATTTCACAACATTGAGAAAAATAAGAAAAGTGAAATAGAT